GCTGTCGCTCGCTGGGGCATTGAGGAAAATGACAGGCTCAACTGCCCCACTGGCTCTGCTAGCATTTGTCATCTCTCCTGTTTCCTTCTCCATCTTCCTTGAGTCTTTTCCATTGCCCAGGTAGACCAGGTAAGTAGCTGGGGCTTAGGACCCTGGATAGCAATTCCAGTTTGGAGAGCCAGTTTAATGTCAAGGTTACAAGTAATACATCCCCAACAATGAAAATTCCTAGGCAAGCATATTCGTCAAAGAACATTTATTGGGACATATCATATTGGCACAAATTTGGTGGAAAACAAGCTCTAAGTTCCCACTGATTTTACACCAATTAAAAGTAAAAATTGGTCACTTCCGCCCCAAAATCACTAGTCACATGGTCCAATCAGCACATAGTCCAGTTGCTAGGTGACTTCAATCTCCATCTTCCAAACACCTGTATGAACGTCCTTGATTCCCAGGGGAAAGAATTTTATTTTGGCTACAACACCCCAGTTATCTCTACATCCCCCTCCTTGCCCTTTAGCTCCAGGCTGCGTCAGCCCTGAAGCAATGTGCGGAGAAACCTTAGAGGAAAGTTACAGAAAAGAAAATGGCCACAGTTAGGCCAGCTTCAGGGTTGACAGGTAGACTACTGCAGAGCAAAATGAAATGATTTAGAAACTACCGTAGTTTCTACTGGTGCAGCCAAAAAATTCATTTTTTGTTTTTGAAATTATTATCATACAGCTGCATAATTCAGTGTATAACCAAAGAACTTTTTCACAAATAATAAATCAAATCTCAAATTCCAAGCCACCTATAATGCACACAATAATATGTTTAGTATTGTATTCCTCCTTTACCTTCCTTACTTTCAGTATCATTTCTATCTTTTAGGGTGTTAGATATCTCATCCAATTTTGTGCCAAGTACAATTTGTTACAATAAAAATGGTGAAGAGTGCAGAGGCCAGGACTGAATCTTGTGGTGTCCCATTCGATACGTACTCCAGCTTGAGGAAGAAGCATTGATGAGCATTCTTTGAGTACAGTTTTCAGATCAGCTCTATTTCTGCTTAATTGTCATGACATCCAGCTCACCAAATATAAGATTTAAGGTTAGTCTAGTAAGTCTTGTTCTTGATGAATTCACGCTGACTTCTAGTGATCACAATATTGTTTTCAAGATGGTTACAGATTACTTCATGACTTGCTCTAAAAACCTCCCAGCTATTGATGTGGATACTGGTGTGGATTTCTTTAGATTCTCTTTTTATCTCTATATAGATTGGTCTAATATTTGCCTTTATCCTGTCATCTGGCACTTCATCAGTTATCCTGAATTTCTCAAATAATATACAAAGATTAAGCTGGTCTGTGCCCTAGATTAAAACATTAAAAGTGAATATTACTCCCTGACAATTTTTTTTATCAATTGCAGGCTTTAATCCTGCCTCTTAATTCTGCCTTGAGGAACACATATCCTCTTATTGGAAAAAAGTAAAGCAAATGTTCTTTCACAAATGAAGGCAAATGTTCTTTGTTTCCCATTAGCATTTTGCCATTCCTTGAAAGCTGATGTACAATTTTTTTTTCATTTTAAACCTATGTGAGGAAGCATTTTATTGTCTATTGCATGCTTTGGCAAACTCAAATCATTCTGAATTTTATTTTTTATGATTGCATGTCTATAATTCCAAACTACCTGTATTTCTTCTTTGATAACCTATCTTGATTTTTGCTCTTTATTCATGCCATTTTTATTTTAGATTTTCTCTTACGTTTTTTGTGCTTTTATATTGACACCCTCTGCTTTCTCCTCTTCCTCTAGATTGTTTGCCATTGTTGTTTTATTGTATTTTCCTAAATTCCTACCACGTATTGTCCACTTTTGAATTCTACTTATAATTTATCTCCAGTGATTAAAATCCATTTTCTTGGGACTTGGATTTAATCTCCCTTCAAATCAGTATCTCCAGTATTACATGGTCACTTCTAGCGAGCATTCATTCTCCTTCCATTTTCTTAATTAAATCATCTTGGTTGGTTAACATTGATTTAAGGATAGCTGATCACTTGTATATTGCTTCATTCTTTGAAGAAGCAAATTATCACCAAGAGAAGTCAGGAATTTCCTAAAAAGACTACGTGTAACACATTTCTGAAAGCATCATCATCTTTTGGATGGCAGTATTAGATACCAATTATAGTGTTTCTTTTATTTATGCCTCCTCTTATTTTAACCCTGATTTCCTCAATAATCTTGCTGAGTTTATTTATTTTAGGATTCTGAATCAGCAGTAGATACTTCTAATGCTATAGTGCAAATTCTCTTCCTTTTGTATGTGTGCATTGTATGCATTTTTAACCATCTCAATCCTTTTTATTATTAGTTTATAATATAAAATACAAGAGAAAATAATAGGAAAAATAGGGGAGGGAAATAGGAAGAGAAAAATGTAGAGAAGGTAAAAAGAAAAAAGGCATAAGAAATATTCTACTACAACTTTTTACTTTTACATAGTAGTATAAACTAGCCATTTCTATAACAGATCTATCTAATCAATAAAACCCAAAATCAAAGTTTCATTTTTTTCAACCTCAAGCACAAAGTCCAGAAGCAGTTTTCAAGTAAAAAACAGAAATACTTGTGTGAACATTGTTCAGTTTTTATATTCCTTTTTTGTTAATAATTTTATTGAAGTTTTTAATAAACAGAGAAAAAAATAATAGAAACTAAGCTAGAAAAAATATCCAGAAGGTGCAGGGGGGGAGGGGGGTATGTTAAAAAAGAAAGAAAGAAAAAGGCAACATAGGCGGAAGAGGTAGCATCTGGCCTTTATCATACCAAGCATAAGCTAATATATTTTCACCCTTTTTAAAGTTACAAATAAGAAAACCCTTCTCCCCAGAAGCTAATTTTTATGGATACACAATCCAGAAACCATCTTTTCAATCCTAGTTTAATAAAAGGTCCATTAGGAATTACCAGAAATATCCCTGATCATCAGTTTTGACCTTTAAATCATTATGGTATCACAGGATTGGACCTTTCATCACTTGTTGGCGTTTGAAAGGAGTCTTCAGAGCTTTCACCAGCCAACTTGTAAATCCCATATAGAAGTATCATCCAGAATTTCTTTCTGCATGTCCTGTTCTTTGCATAGTAGTATTGTCTAGAATTTCTTGTTGCAGCTGATCAGATCTTTTTTTAATTTGTCTTTTATATTTCCATTTTGCTAATCATAATTTTGTCTTCAACCTATAATGTCCAAGATTAATGTGTTTAATTTTTCTCATCATCTTCTAAAAGTTTGTCTATTGAAATCTGTATCCTTTCTATTATTAATATTTCAGTCTTAAGATAAGAAAAAATTATAGCCAGCTTAACCATTTAAACTTGTTTCTGTCTGGTCCTTTAGTTCTCTTGAGTGTCCTTTGCCAACCTTCATCAAGCCTTAGTTATTAATTATGGGATTAGAAGTAGTCCTCACCACTGCAATTGAACCCAAAATTTCTGTTGCTAAATGAGACATTTGTTAAGTGAATTTTGCCCCATTTTACAACCTTTCTTGCCACAGTTGTTAAGTGAATCACTGAAATTAATACACTTGTTAAATGAATCTGGCTTCCCCATTGACTGCTTGTCAGAAGGTTCCAAAAACTGATCACATAACTCCAGGACACTGTAATCGTCATAAATATGAGTCAGTTGTCAAGTGTCTAAATTTTGATCACCTGACTATGGGGATGCTGCAATGGTCGAAGGATGAAAAATGGTCATAAGTCACTTTTTTCAGGTCTGTTGTAACTTTGAATAGTCAATAAATGAACTGCTGTGAGTCAAGGTCTACCTGTAGTTGCATTTCAGTTGTTTCCCATAAGTACATTATTTAATTATATATTTGGTTTTCAAATCTTACAGCAAAAATAAGATTTTTCTCCCAAAGCATTTAAAATGTTCTTAAATCAAAATATTTTATTTTATTTTGCCAGTTATATATTACTTTAAATTCTTGTTCAAAATTTCTTAAATTCAAAAAAGATAAAACTCCCCAGATGTCAAGTTAAGCTTGCAATTTTGAAGATATCTACTATCAATAAAGTGGTTAAATTGAATATTTCTAAATGTGATTAGAAAATGGGTTTGGATAGTTTGCTAACCTTATGAAAGAGCACAAAGCAAAGATTTTACTGAAGAGCAAAGATGTCTCTTTTGGCTCCTCGTGCTTCATGAAAGTTTTATTATCTTCTCATAAGATGCCATTCAGAGCAGTTGTGGATGATCTCCCATTCTTTCCTTCACTGGAGTGGTTTGAAAGACCAGCCTATTCGCAGATCTTTTATTTTTCATAGTGGTTACCATCTGCACTCATTCTTGTATTCCAGTCATGGGAGCTGTCCCACAATATTTCCCTAATGTCCATTTTTGTTTATATCTGGTAGGAGTTCAATTCCTCTTATTCCTTTTCCCATACTCTAGTATAAAACACAATAAGATTTTATCTGAGCACTACCATCATTGTTGTCAGTCAAGGCCTTCCCAATCACCCAAATGCTATTTTTTCCTATTCTGAATAATATTAAACATATTATATATCAATTATATCAATTTGAATTGTATCAAATTCATTGAGTAAATACTACAAATTTTCTCAGATTAGGTTCTTAGACTTTTAGTTGCTGTGGATTTGGGAGAGGAAACAATAGAGTGCTTTTGTCTATCTTCTACATTCTCTTTGCAAATATAACAACAAATTGATGCTTCCCATTCTTACCCATTCCGTTCTCTTTTAATTACAACTGGGAAAAGCTATGTATTTGTTTCTATATATAGGTTTTACTAAGGCTGTTAGATCTCAATGGCAAAATCAGGGCAATGACTAGATGGCAAAAAAAAAGGTTTTCTCTAGATTTTGCTGCTATCTAGCCATTTTTGTACCTACAGGATTTGCAAATTCCTTTAAGCCATCTAATATTTCTTGGACATGTTTTTCAACTTCATGTTGTTTACATTGCTACATTGTAATCAATGAATTCATCTTTGGTAAACTATATTTATGTGGGTCTTCTCTTGCTCAGATCTCCTATGTTCCTTCTCTTTAGCTGATGTCCCCATTCTTTTCTCTTTGTAACAGTATGTCTTTTTCTACATAGATTAGTTCAGTTTCCCGTCTGCTATCAAGACTCAATGCTATACTCTTCAAGATACAGTTTAATGAACAGGTAGAAAACATAAAGCCAGATATTGTTGCTGTTACAGCAGCCTGTGAGGAACTTCGCAATAGTGAGAACTTCGGCAGTCTTCTCTCCATTATCCTCCTTGTGGGCAACTACATGAATTCTGGCTCCATGAATGCTGGTGCTTTTGGATTCAACATTAGTTTTATTTGCAAGGTAAAAATATGAGGAGAAAAACCTGGGGAGGAATAAAATAATAATAAGCATCTTCTTGTGCATTGTTCACCAGTAGTCTTGTTCATATCTTTTAGCTTCGTGACACAAAGTCAACTGATCAGAAAATGACCTTACTTCACTTCTTGGCAGAAACATGTGAACTGCAATATCCAGATGTCCTGAATTTTCCTGATGATCTCAACCATGTGGAGAAAGCTTGTCAAGGTACTGTTTGGCATGTGTATGTGTTTTAAGATTGCAACCAACACCTTTTCTTTGTGGTCAACATATAAGTATTTTGTTTGGAATACTGTTCAGAATACTATTTGAAATTCTGTCACGTGCTCTTAATGATGAATCAAAGTATTTTCAACTCTCCCCAATTCTTGCTTCTTCATAGTTTCTCATAAACGTGACAAAAATGTGCCAAATTAAATTGAAAATAACAGAATAACATAAGGGATGTTGCAGGTCTTGCAAAAGAACCCACAACTTCTGGAGGCTGTTCCATTGGTTAACCGTTCTCACTGTCAGGAAATTTCTCATTAATTACAAGTTGGTCCGCTCCTTGATTAGTTTCCAGTCATTGTTTCTTCTCCTGTCTTCAAATACTTTGAAGAATAGGTGACTTGTTCTTCTTTGTGGCAATTTTTCAAATATTGGAACACTGCTATCATATCATCATTAGTCCTTTTCATTTAAACATATCCAGTTCCTGGAACTGTTCTTCAGATGTTTTAGCCTCCAGTCCCCTAATCATTTTTGTTGCTCCTCTGCACTCATTCCAGAGTCTCGACATCTTTTTTTACATCATGGTGACCAGAAATGGATTGATGTTACCAAAGGAGCATAAAGCCTCTTTATCACTTCTTGTGATCATGATACTACCTTTCTGTTAATGAAGCCTCGGACTACTTCGGCTTTTGGGGTGACTTCAGCACACTGCTGGCTCATATTTAAATGGTCGTCCTATAGTTCTAGGTCTCTCTTGCAGTTACTGCTATTGATATAGGTACCACCTATTCTATACCTGTGCTTTTAGTTTTTCTTGCCTAAGTGTAAAACCTTGTTTTTCTCACCATTAAATTTCAGTTTGTTAGATACTGCCCAGTGTTCAAATCTGTCTAGATCCATCTGGATCTTGAGCCTGTCGTCTAAAGTGTTGTCTATTCTTCCCAGCTTTATGTTGTCTGCAAATTTGATGAGTTCCTGTTTTATCTCCTCATCTAAATTGTTTATGAAAATGTTAAAGCGTATTGGATCTAAGACCGAATCTGGAATACCACACTGCGTATTTCCATACATGTAGATGTAGTTTCATTATGGACTACATATTGAGTGAGATTTCTTAGCCACTTATAAATCCATCTGGTGGTGATGCTGTCTATCTCACATATTTCTATCTTATCAAGAATTAGGTTGTAGTCTATTTTGTCAAGTGCCTTACTGAAGTCCAAGTATACTATGTCCACAGCATTTTGCTGGTCCACTAATTTAGTGACTGACTGGTGTGTAGTTTCTGTAGTCTGTAGGTATTGTCCTACCATCTTCTTGTCTATTTTAATTTATATTCCTAAACTGTCTTTTATGGTTCTACTTTTGTTAGGTTGAGCTATTTTTTTTTCTTTTGTGTAAAGACAGAGAATGAATTAAGCAGCTCTATTTCCCCCTCTGCTGTCCATCACTTCCATGCCACTTCGTCTCCCATTAGTAGATTATTGTTTCCTTGACTTTTTTTTAACATATTGAAAGAAAGTTTTATTGTTACTTTTGACAATTATTGCAAGTCTTAGTTCATTCTAAGCCTTAAGTTTCCTGATTGCAAGTTTGGGCTACTTGTTGGTACTCTGCCTTAGTTTTTATGCCATTTTTATAAACCTTTTTGTCTTTCAGTTTATAAGATAATTCTTTTTTTTTTTTTTTTTTCAGAACTTTTTTATTTTTCTTTAAGAAAAAAAAACACAAATATGTCATCATTTGTCAATCATTAAAACATTGAAGTACAATTTTTTTTTTGTGTGTCCCCCCCCCCCCCTCCCCCCCCCCCCCCCCCCCCCCCC